AAAAAATCACTCAGCACAATAATCATAAACTGCTCCTGCTAGTGACCTAACCATTTGTAGAGATGATCAAAAGAAAACAAAGAGCTAAAATTAAGTGTGTATTTTCTCTTTAAACTGTTCAAGCCATAAAATAACTTACCAGTAGGCCCTCATTCTCACTACTTGTACTGCAGCCATCCTAAGAAAATTATGTATAGCTTACCTCTTTCTGAATAGTCAGTTTAACTTTAAGTCTCTTAGAATGGGGCTCAGTCCAAACAAAGCCTGCATCCACAAGCCGTACCTTCAATAAAACACAAACAAAAAGAATTGTAAGTTCCCACCTGAGAAGGAAAACAAAGAACAACTCATTAATAAACAGATTTCATAAGATGCTCAAGGAACCTGTGATTAGCATCACTACATACCATAACTACACACACACACACACACAAAAAAATTTATCATCAGAAGTAGGACAACCATAGCAGCAAATATGAGGACAATCCAATGACTATATTAATGCAACTGATATAGTTCAACCAAAAATTAAAGTATTTGCATGGGAAAAAATTCTTTTCCCTAAAAAAGTATACCATTCTTTGAATGGAAAGTATAATTTTGAGAAGAAAACAAAGACCTGGTGACCTCATCAAGTAGAAACCTCATGAACGAAGGTTTCCGCTTGGATTATTCTCTCTATATTAAGTCTGTGGCTTTTTTTTCAGAATGGGCATTCATAAGAGGATGTTTCATGCACTGAATACTGAACCCATAATCACAACTCACTGCTAAATCAGCAACATCTGAGGTCAACACCAGTTTGCTATATATGAGAAACGATATAACTCAATACAACTAAAAAGGGTGTTTTGAGACAGAGGGGGGTGGGGGGAGAAAACAAGAATGGAGGCTGTTGCAATAATTTGGGCTGGAGTCATGGGTGACCTGAGCTGAGTACTGGAAATAACAGAGGCAGATCCAAGAGCTATTTAGGAGCTAAAAATCTACAGTATTTAACGATAATTGAAGAGAACAGACTCTGCAATGATGCTCAAGTATCCAGTTTGGGCAACTAGGTAGAACAATTTTTCTGACAGAAACAACGTTTATTTATTTTTATTTTCTTGATGGCTGGCCAGTAAAGGGATCCAAACCCTTGACACTGGTGTTATTAACATCATGCTCTAACCAACAAACAACAGATTTAATGGGGAGAAGACACTGCATTTGGTTTCAGACATTTAAGTTTAAGAGGCTATCTATGAGCTATCCAAGTGATCTTGTTCGGTGGATAGACAGACACATACTGGTCTGGAGATCTATGCACAAATCTGGGCTGTAGATAACAGATCTGGGAGGCATCAACAAGCAGATTATAATTTTATCAAGTACTGTCTGGTGAGAACTAGACTAGCTAGTGCAGATGTAGCACTCCTGAATAAAACCCTCTTCATATGACTGGATACCCTAAAACAAAGCCTAGCAATCAACAAGCCACGCCAGGTACAGAGGGTGACAAGCAACTTCCTGTTTTCTTGGTCTCCATCTGCAGGGGTCAAGAAGAAGCCCCAAGGGCACTGAGTAAGGCTGCTCTTCCCAGCCTCCAACCTCCATCCGTAGGAATGAAGAGAGGGTCCTTGACATTCCCGTCAGCATTCCCCAACACAGCCTCACCACACTATCTGTCTTCAGACAACTAGGACTTATTAGGCCCTTTATCCTTCTTTACCAGACACCTCAGTCAGCCCACACCTCCCACCTCTGATTTTCATATGGTTCCACATATTATTCCCTATCCTGTCCCTATCTACTCCTCCCTGAATCCTGAAACCCTTTTACTTTGCCCTCTGGAACCCAACATTTCCCTAACAAAACCTCCCAAATCCTCAACATCTTTGCTGAACCTTCCCTTCACCTTCTAGATCTCCTGATTATACTGCTCCCCTGAAGCTAACTAAAGTGATGACTAATTTTCCATTTATTTTCCTCCTATCACTGGACCAGGAGCCAGACAGGTGTCCTCCTTGCTCTTCACTGCTAATTCTGGATCATTCTCCCTGCCTCTTCCTTAAATATACCCAGCTTTAAATCTAAAGTCATCAGACTCTACCACTTGACTACATTCTTTGTTATAGTTGTCTGTTAATCCTTACATCACTTGCTCTCATTTCTCAAAGATTTTAAATCCTGGGGCCGGTCCGGTGGCGCACTGCTACAGTGCACCGCTTGGGAGCGCTGCGGAGCTCCCGCCGAGGGTTCGGATCCCACATACAGACCGGTTCCCGCTCACTGGCTGAGCGAGGTGCAGGAGCGATGCCGAGGGTTGCGATCCCGTTGCCGGTCCCGGTCCGGTACCGTACGGGCGCGACACTGAGGGTTGCGATCCGTTGCCGGACACGAAAAAGACAAAAAAAAAAAGATTTTAAATCCTGGATCACTGTTACTCTCTCCAACCATAATATTAATACTTGGAAATTTCAGTATTCACACAGATGATCCCCACAATACCCTGACCTCTCTTTTCTTTGAATTCCTCATCCCCCAAGATCTTGATCTCCTTCCCATCTCAGCCACTTCCTTTTCCAAACATCCTACTCCCTGACTACCACCTCCTATCTTTCCAGCTAATTGCCTCTAGTTCCTGGGCACCAAAAATTCTTCAATTCAGTGTAACAGACAATCCATTCATCCTACCATCTTTTCACTACTGCTCATTCCTCATCTACTCACTTCCACCCTTTTCCAGAGCATTTCAAAATCAATCATCAAAACTATCCCCATGTACACACTCTCAATTCCCTTGGTCCCTCTCACCTCACCTCGGTCAGTAGGCTAAATCATAATTTTGTTAAATCCATGCTCTGCCTGCTCTATGCCTTACCAGTGTAGCTGACGGGGCTAGAGAAACAAATGCACACCATGCTGACTAGTCTTTAAATTTGTAACAGGAACCCTTAGCACTGCCCAGCACCCACACCGCACTGTTCTAGTGCATTCCCTCTCCTACTCTTCTAGAGGGCTATTTCATACATTCCCCTCTCTCCTCAAAATCTGATAGCTCTTCCCTAGGAGCTACTGCCCATGGTTCTATTTTCTCAATTAAAAAAAGAAAACAAAAGAGGATTTCCAGAAGTTCCCACTTACCAACACCTTCCTTCCTGTTACCACAGATGAACTGTCCATGCTCCTATCAAGACCAACCTCCAGAAAGCCCATTAGAAGGCAGAGATCTTTATTTTGTTCCATGAAATATTCACAATCCCAAAATGGTGGCTGGCAGAAAGTAAGTGCTGAATATTTGTTGAATGAATGAATGAACAAACAAATGTATTCTTCCACTATGTGCTATATCTTATCTTTTTCCACTCTTCGTGGACATCCCTCACCAATTATTCTGTCTCCTTGCAGTTTCACAACTGTTCCCTCTGTGCTCTCATCGTTACCAGAAAGCTTACAAATCCACTATTACATCTGCCAGTGTAAGAAACGTGTCCCTTCCCCAATTCCCCCTTCAGCCACTGCCCACTTCTTTGTTTTCCTTTGTAGTAAATCTCAAAAGAATTACCTATTCTTTCAATTCTTTCTCCCATTCTTTCATTTCCACTCAAATCACATCTTTCTTGCCACCAGTAAACAGAAACTGCTTGTCAGATTTGCTAATGACCTCCATATTGCTAAATCTACAGAACTCATTTCTTGACCAATCAGCTACAAATCACACAGCCAATCACTCCCTTCTACTTTCCTTACCTTCCAGAACATCAGCCTCACCTAACTTTCCTCCTACCTCCCTAGCAGCTCCTTTCAGTCTCCGTTGATGGTTCCTCCTCATCTTGCCAAACTTTTATCATTAAAGGACTCCAGGATTCAGTCCTCCAGTTCCTTCCCTTCTCTATCTAAACTCCCTAGGTAATCTCATCCAATTCATGGCTCTAAATACCATCTATATCCTAAATTCACTATCTTTAGGTAGACCACTCTCCTGCTTATTTATCCAGCTGCCTACTCAGCATTTCTACTTAAATGTCTATTGGACAACCAAGTACCAGCTAGAGATTAGCTCTGATCTCCCCCACCCTGACATGCTCCTCTTGAAGCCTTTCTTACCTCACTAGTGGCAACTCCCTTCTTCCGGCTGCTCAGGTCAAGAACACTGGAAGTCATCCTTAACTCTTCTCTTACACACACATCCAGCTACATCAATAAATGCTGAATACCTTCAAAACAGATCCAGAATCTGTCCACTTCTTACCACCTCCACTGCCAAAACCATCATTTCTCATGATTATTACGATTGCTTCCTAAGGTCTCCACTTCCATCTTTACCCTCCTCAAATCTATTCTAAACAAAGCAGTCAGAGAGATCCTGATAAATCGTATCATCTCACTACTCTGCTCTTCACCCTCTAAACCTATTACAGAGAAAAAACAAGTCCTTAAAAGGGCCTACAAGGCCAGACATACTCTGACCTTCCATGACTTCACCCCCAACTACTTTTCCACTTACCACTCCACTCTAATCTCACAGGTGTGCTCTTGCCTCTGGTCTCTACACTTCTTGTTTCCTCCACCCATAATGCTCTTCCTCCAGATTTTTGCATGGCTCCCTCACTTACCATCTTTAACCATCTTTAATGTTTACGCAAATGTCACCTTATGAACGAGGCCTCCCCAAACATCCCATTTTAATATGCAACTCTTCCCTGCACAATTCTTATCCCCTTCCCAGCTTTTTCACCACAGAATGCATCTTTTAATATACCACATTGCATACTCTACACCACCCCTCCCAGCAAACTAGAATATAAGTTCCCTAAGACAGGGATTATCTGTCTTATTCACTGCCATATCCCCAACACCAAAAGCAGTTTGGCACAGAGCTGGTGCTTAATAAACATATGCGAATAAATTAATGAATTATTAAGACTTACAAGACATTTGACAAAAGCCTAAAGTATAAAAGCAAAAAAAGAAGATACACAAAAAACTGACTTCAGAAAAACAGAGACAGGCTGGTTAGCTCAGTTAGTTAGACTGCAGTGCTACAGCACCAAAGTTAAGGGTTCAGAATCCCATACCAGCCAACTGAAGAAAAAAAAGAGAGAGAGACAAATCAGGGAACAGAAGGAAACTCTAAAAAAATCCTATTATCAAAATCATCAGAAAAATTCAAGGATAGAATGCATCAAGAACAGGAAAGCTTCTGGAACTTAAAAATATTACTGTTGGAAAAAACATCAATAGAAAAGCTGGAAGATAAAGTAAAAGAAATCACCAAGAACACAGAGGAAAAAAGACAAAAAGATTAAAAAAAAAATATGAAGAAAAGACAAAGTTTTAAGCCTGGAGAGCCAATATTTGACTAACAGAAATTCCAAGGTGGTGGAGGAAGGAGGGGGTGGCAGATAAAGGGAGAAATTTCAAAGAACGATTACATGATATTTTATCAGAGCTTAAAGGAGAATAGGAAAAACCCTCGAAATGAAAGAGTCCATTTCAATTAAAAACATACGGTAGAAGTGAGTCATAAGGTTAACATAAAGAAAACTTGAAAGAGTTATGTCAAGAAATTAACTGGGCTAAACAAAACCCTATTTGTTTTTTAGAGACATTTATGCATGGACTTTAAATGATAGACACAAACATTTTCCTTGCATAGCAATAATGAAAATAAAAAGAAGTCAAATAATATAGCCCTAGTACTATAATCTCTTAAATTACGTTTAGCAATAGTTTTATATAAAGATTTTTAGAAAAAAATATTACACCTAAGAGGTTCTCAATAAATAATGAATAAAAAAATTGATTCTGTAAGTCTTTTAAAGCAAAAAGGTATTTTCATTTTCCATGAAAAAGAATATACATAACTTTAAAATGAAAACAGCAATTGTAGTGGGATGCTATTAGTAACATTTAATAGTTAGTTTTGAAAAATCTACTCATAAAAAGATTTTCTGAAAATGAGAGCTTTAATGAATGTATATACTTACAAACACTGATTTTAGCTGTTTGACTTACCTTACTCAGAGGGGCTTTGATTTTTTTCAAACACAAAGCAAGAAGTTCCCTAGATTCTAAAGCACACTGTATCCAAGTTCCTGGTGGCTGAAAATATCTGAGAGAGAAGATAACACACTGAAATCCAACTTCTCTCAGGAAAAATTAAATGTACAGATATAACAATGATTATAAATCAGTCATAAAAATACCCAAGGCTGATCTGAAGCACTTAACCCAAATATACTTTAACAATTTCAGAAAACTTTCAATTAGACAAGTAGCTTTAGTTTAAAAAGTAAAATTAAAATTTCTTACACATACTTCTAAAATGTTTGAGAACTGCTTATTTCTCACAAAAAAGGTAAATTAGTACCTCCCAACACTATGTATTAGCCACAGTCCAGATTACTCATCAATATTTCAAGCCTCTTTTCAAATTTTAAATTGCAAAACACAAGTTTTAAAATCTTAGGTAAAACCTGGCTAAATTAAAATTTAAATCCTTTATGCATGTGCTGTAAGTTTTTTAGCCCAACCTACTCAGGACTTAGTACAATGCCTGGAACATACTAGTAGGTGCTCAATAAATGTCTGTTAAATACATAATACTTCCAAATGTGTTATGTGAATGCCTTTGTGCTATACTTACTAAATAACTGAAAGTTCTGATTTCACTTTTCAAGGTTCTACCAAATACATTACAGAGGTCCCCCTTTGCTTATAAACACACTTTTGGAGTTAGAAAGGGCTTCACATATCATTTAATAAAACCCTTCATTCTGATGAGGAAACTGAACCCCAGAGATGATAAATGGCAAGAGTTTCAAAAAGCAAGTTTGAAACAGATTCAAGTATCTCTACACTATCTTTATCAGATTAGCAAACTAGAAAAGTACACTATAAAATTGCAAATTCTAAAATCTTTGGTGACACCAACATAAATAAAAATTAAATCTCTGAGCTGGCTAGTTAGCTCACTTGGGAGAACAAGGTGCTGAGAACACCAAGGTCAAGGGTTCTGATCCCCTTACTGACCAGCCACCAAAAAAAAAAAAAGAAAAGAAAAGTAAATCTCAATTGCATGTACTTATTCTATGTATCTTGGCGTAATTTCAGCATATCCCAATGACTCTCTATATATAAATCCCAGGTTTACGGAGAGTAAAATAGTATCAGCACTGTACCTTTGACATTGTTTGCAGAAAGAAATCGAGACCTGTTTCGGGATACCTTGGCTGATGTCTACTTTGCTTCGCAAACAAGCCACACAAATATTAGCAGGATTTGGACTAATAGGGACACCACACTCACAGCACAAGCTTGAATAAATAAGACAAATTTTTCAAATTAAATTTTATAAACACACTATTTACAGAAAAAAAAACTACCAAGCAAAAGCCTTCAAGTTAGGCCATAATATTTTTGCCCTTTTTAAAAAAATGACTTAGAAATGAAGCAATCTTCAAAGATGCAGTAGATAAAGACCAAACCTGAAGTACTGGGGCAAAAAACCAAGGATGGCAACAATTCCAAAAATCCTCAAAAAAAGGCCTTTGCCCTAAGGCTAGAGAGAACTTCACATAATGATAAAAATACTCTATTTTTGTTCTGTATAAAAAGCTGACCGCAAACATTGAAAAAATTTAGTCTCCATATAACAAAAATACCAGGCTTCTGAGTATCAAGAGAAGAGTCTATCCTTCTAGGCACCACTAGCCACATATGGCAACTGGACCACTAAAAGTGACTAGTGCAATTCTAGTCCATTTCTATTAAAAACAAATGGAAATAAACAGTTACATTAAAATGAATGGAAAAACAAACACGAAAAAAAACAAAAAAAGATATTGATGGAGAATACAAAACTTGAACCAACTTCAATTTCAAATACTTAAATATGATAAAATGCTAAAGTTTTCTTTACCACATCCAACCAAGACCATCCACAGAGGTAACCATTATTAACCATTTGTATATATCCTTTTAGACATTTTCGATACAGACGCAAACATCCACATTAATTTTTACCAATGAACAGACTTACAATAAATTTCACAACTGCAAATGTAATAGCAAAATTGGGGAAAATTTGAGCACTTTTTTATCCCTTTTTTAAAACTGGAAAACTAAGAAAGAAGAGATTAACAGAGCAATACTATGTCAGTGGCAAAAACCAAAAAGAAAATTTCATCTCAAGAATACGTAAGATCAGTTTATCACTCTTCAATTCATCCAACTCATCTCTAAATAAAAATGTGGCTGCCTATTTAGTCTAGTTGATGCCTCATTTGTTCTGTGCACTATCTCAAGTGCTGCACTGAGAACTTTATTTATTCAAGGCCTACAGAGGACCTCATAGCTTAGGTAAAGAGCACGGTATCACAAGATAAAAAGACTACAGCTGTCTACCCATCTCCTTCTGATAAACATGTCTTAAAGTATTTCTGGAAGATATATAAACCTATGGATTACACCAATAGAAACTAATAGCTAAATCACTTCTGACAGTAATTAGACTGCAATAAATTCCAAAGGCAATTTTTTTTAAAAGGTGCAGGGCCTGCTAAAATATAAACATTTACCCAAAGAAGAATTTTTTAACAGGATAGGAATTATATCAACGTCTAGTGATTCAATATAAATGATGAGAGTATCATAATTCTGGGTGTACTGGGGGCAGCAAAGGTTTGAGAACCACTAACTAGAACAATAGTGTCCAAAAGAAAAGTTCAATAATCTTCCATGTTCAAAGGTAGTCACTAGCCACATGTGGGTACTGAGCACTTGAAATGAGGCTAGTAAGACAGAGCAATAAAAGTATTTAATTTTATTCCACTTAAATTAATTTAAGTTTAAATAGCCACGTATGGCTAACGGCTACATATGGACAGTGAAGACCTAGAAGAATGCAGTAAATATTTTAGCCATTCTAAAGCATGTATTTACTAGAACAAACTTTATAACTAAAAACGAATTCGATTTTCTACAGAAGTAAGACTTTTATTTTTTCCATTTATGACAAAAGAACCTCTCCCACCTCAAAAGCTTTCCCCCCAGTAAGTTTCAGACTCACTCTGAGATTTTCTCATTTAAGGGGCATAGGGAAAAAGGGTTGCAACTCACATGTGTCCAGGGCTGCGGTCGGCGGATTCTTTCATATACTCCATCGTTCTGTACACCCTAATTTTTTAAAAAATGAAAATGGTAGGATTTAAATCATCTGTCTACTTTCCTCTTTGTACAACTATTCCTTCTGCCTCTGAATGACACGGCAGAGCTTCGTATGAAGCAGGAAACAAGACCGACTTCCACTTGGCGACTTAGGAAAAAGCAACTTCTTTAGGATCAGGACCAAGGGATCTCCGGAGTTTCCAACCTACAAGACCCGCAGGCCTCGACCGGGCGGCAACCCGAGCGCACCCAAGGCAAAGTCAACGCGCTCCCTCTCTTCCCCCACCACAGGACCCCTGCCCACACCCGGCGGCAGCACCTCGAACTTGCGCGGCTGGAGTCCCCGGACGGCGTCACGGAGCCCGCGGGCCACCGCACATCGAGACCCCGACTCCGACCCCCGCACGCGCGACCTCACAGGAGCTCAGGGCCGGCGGCGCACACGCAG